TGTGGCCTAAATAAACTAAACCCCCCTCCCTTACCTTATTTAGGCCATATGTGGCCCAAATAAGCACTCCCTATTGGTAAAATCTTTAAGTTACAGCCTGTTCATTGCCTTGCTTTTGATGAACAATATATTATGTGTCAGAGGTAAAATTAGTGAGAAAAGGACGATAGCCTATGCCTGTATTAGCAATGTTTGATCCAAGCTCGAGGTCGAGTGTCTTTAGAAACTGCAATTTTACATTTTTTGTGCCTTTCAGCTACATTTTTCTATGAAATCCATAGATCTACAGAAGTGTGTAATGAAATGGATTTTTTAAAAAATTATAAAATGTTGCACCAAAAATTTACAAATAAAATAAAAATGTTCCAACGGGTGGAAAAGTGTCGGGTTTCTTTGATTTCATTTGACGAAGAGTATCTGATTCCACTTCGCTGGGACACATATGTAATATTCATCATGAGACAATATTATGTGGAATTCTTTATAAATTTATTGCATGCAAATTAAACTATATGTGATTAGCAGTGGTTTATTGGTCTGCTGTGTTTCTTTTTAATGTAGCTTAGCACTAGTTTAGAAATTTACTTGTCAAGGTAATTGTCAAAAGGAAAAGAGGACAAGAAGAGGAATATGTCTTCATTAATCCTTTAATGCTATGAAGGTTTTTCTGTTTGACTGCTGTGTTTCTTTGAGTCTTTAAATTTATCTGCAGGGTTGTGTAGATAAAATGACTGCTCCCTTAACCCTTTCGTTGCCAGGGGTTTTGTGTTCATACTGTCAGCGCTGATTTTCAGCTTCTAAGCTCGTTAGTCGGGACAGCAGCCTGATGTTTCAGTGTTAATGGATGCGCTGTCTAGATCTAGCGCACTCGTGACATATTTCCGACACAGGGTCTTCGATTATGTTACTTTTCTTATGAATCCTCCCATCTTACTCATAATTTCGAATAATCTGCAAATCCAAGTAAAAAAGTGAATATATGCCTTTTTAAAGTCATTTCGATGTTTATGTTTTACAAGAATACACAGTCGCTCGCAAGCCTACATCCGTATGTTTATCGATCTCTTGCATAGCCCGGCTTGTCAGATAAATATATATGTTCTGCCTTGGTGATGGTTATTTCTAATCAATGTCATACCAACTCAGTTGATTTATCAGTCATAAACACTTGATATTATACACTAAATAAAGTTGTTTTCTCACCAACTGCATTAATATGGTGAACTAACACATTTTCAATTTTCATTTTTCTGCACAGGATGCTTGGGTGGCTTTTCACAATGATAAGGAAAAAGTCAGCAAATATCTCCAGAGCATCTATGTTGGAGATGTTGTAGATGAGCCAGTGGTATGTCATTTGTTTTTGTATAAAGACTGTTCAAAGTGAATCTATCTTATTACAAAAGAGACTTTTAACTTCCATGTCACCAATATGATGACCACTGTTCGTAACTTTTTTCAGGAGCGAAGGAGGCGAGATACTGTTACGAGGAATAGTGTGTGTTCATTACGCCTTGTGAAGAGCAAGGACCATAATAACAAGCGCTGTTTGTCATATTGTATTCAACATGCTGTTTCTGTTAGATATGGTACGTAGTGAATTTGATTTTTCTTTGGGAAGATGTCTTTTGCTGTTAGAGACAGTTTGTCACATTTACAACCGGATCTAATTATATATACAAATTATCACTAGAGTGATCACCACCTTTCAAACGGTAACCGAAGCTGTGCACTGAGAAGCACAAATTGGCCCTGAGTTATGAAAGGGTTTAAATTATTCAGTTTATGTTGATACTCAGAGGTAATTAAATGTCGTGGATATGAATAAAAACATTAATTTTCTCTGCAAAAAAAGGAACTGTCATGTTTATTTAAATAAATCTGTCTACTTTTCATATAACTGGCTTTAGATCTATATAATAATAATAATAATTGCATTTATATAGCGCATATCCATGCTCAAGAGCATGCTCTATGCGCTTTACAACTATTATTACCCCAGCAGACCCTCTGAGAACACTCGGAAATATTCTTAGCTTCTGCGAGAGCATTCAGTGCAAGCTGCGGATTTCACACGCTCAAACACTATCAAAATGACAAGATCTTTCACTGTCTATAGCCGGGTACCCTTTTCCACCTGGGTGAAGTGAGGAAATTTTGTGCAAAATGCCTTTCCCAAGGACACAACGTTGTGCCCCTGATGGAATTCGAACCCACGACCTTACGGTTGCGAATCCGGCAGCCTAACCACTAGGCCACCTTCGCCACATATATAAATATATAAATTATATAAATCAATAATTGGTTTGAATTTATCATTAGCATCCAAGACTTTAAAAGTTTTTAGTTTCCCTTCACTTATTTTCTTACCAAGTGAATCTTCTGTTTGTGCGCATTCAGTACTTGATTTGTAAAAACTTGTTTATATTTATCTTGTCCAACTAATATGGCAATAGTAGTAAAAGTTGATCCATTTTGTACTGAATATTGTTTTAGTGTTCTGGCTCATTAAAAAAAAAATAATTGGGCTTTGGAAAGAGTAGCATATCTAATTTTCAGTTTCTTTGTATTTCTTTGTGTGGGTGTGATGAACAATGACAAGCCGTTAAATGCCTTTATTGCTACCAAATTGAGTACAAACTTTCAATCAAATGCCCTCTTTGAGAACCTGGCAGGAATTTTTTTGACGTCATTATCATGATTAAAATTTATTGTTAGTTAAATTATGAATTATTTGCCTTTTTGTCTGTATAATTGTTTGTCTAAAATACATTATCTTACATATATCGGGACCTGTGAAATGCAGTCGTTTGTGATCTAACGACCACCTGTACAAAGGGTCACTTCCCGCTTCCTCTCTAACTTTTTTTTTCTCTATTATAACGACACTGTCTGAGACGTTCACCCAAGTCTGCAAATTTTCTCCAAGTCTCGACAATGGATGGCTGTCTCGGGCAATTTTGACAGATCGTTTGCCCGCCTTGCTCTATCAGTTTGGAACTCTCTTCCAGAACCCTTGAGACATGCAAAATCTGAGTCTAAATTTAAAAAATCGTTAAAGACTCATTTAATGACATCATTTTTATGTCAGTAGATTCATGTTCAGTACAATGTTATGTAAATGACTATGTATCCATTTATGTATTTTGCGAATTGCATTGTGTATATTATTTTATTATGTATGTGTATGTGCTCATTTTGTAACGATGTGTAAGAGTGCGCGTGTGATAAGCAAGTAGATGTGTGTGTGTTTGTGTGCATGTGTGCGTGCATGTGTGTGTGTGTGTGTGCTTGGCATGCATTTGTGTGTGCACACATGTGCATGTAATGTGTGCGCGAGTGTGTGTGTGTGTGTGTGTGTGTGTGTGTGTGTGTGTGTGTGTGTGTGTGTATGAGTGCGTGTGTGTGAGTGTGTGTACTGTTTCGTGTGCATGAATATTGTTCGCACATGCTTTTATGTAAAGCGCCTAGAGCTGTGTTTCCATGGGAGTGGGCGCTATAGAAATGATCTTCATTATTATTATTGGTAGTTGGTGCTTATTGGTTTAATTTTTCTTAACTAGAAGATGCAGTCTTATCTATAGCAAGAAAATTATTTTCCTTCTCAGCTGTCACGCATGTCACATCCTCATTGCAAATTGTTATTTAAGTTTTTTGCAAGGGTATCATATATTTTTTTCTTTTTGGTCACAAAAATTTTTTTTTGGGTGTCACTAGAGTGAAATAAAACAAGACTTTCGCAAACTGAGGCAGACAGTTGTGGACAGTGGATGGCTCAAGCCAGAACCTTGGTTCTACATTCTGCACATGGGCCACATTTTTCTCCTGGAAGCCCTGGCTGTGTGGCTTGTCTGGTACTTTGGCAACGGCTGGCTCACAACTATGGCTGTATTACTTGTTCTAGCGACGGAACAGGTGAGTTCTGTTACCATTATCAGTGTTTTTTTAAGGCTATTTTAAGAAATTAAAATATTTTATTTTTGTTTGTTTGGGTTTTGTTCTTGTTGCTTCTGCTTTGATTGAAATTGGTGAGTGAATTAAACATAAGTAAAGAATATTTTGATTTGTTTTTGTTCCTGAATATGAAATTAGATGTACTAGCTTGCATTTTGAAACTTTTATTGATGTATGATGAAGGTACTTTAAAGGAAATCAGATGATATTTTCAGGGTTGCTCTATCTATGTTTGATACATTCATTTCTAAATTTGGAATAATTTCAAAGTTTAAGCTAGTATCTGCATTTTGTTTTAGGATCATTTTGAATTCTCTCCCCCACCCCCTCCCCCAACTGAGCAGATTGCATGGTAAATCCTGCGTATCAGTCCAATGTGTTTTGGAATCATACTGTGACAAACTAAAAAAAAAAGATTTTTTCGCCTATCAAGCTTTCTTGAGTCACAAATGGACATAATGATATAGCACGAGAGACAATCACCTTATATAAATCTCTGGGCTTTCAGGCCCACTATATGTAGGCTAATATTTTACGAATGTTTGTTGTGATACTTGGAATTCTTTCTTTTTTTTTCTGATCTAAATGCCTTAAGAAGAGCATATGTTTTTCATTTTGCGTTGCTATATCAGGCTCAAGCCGGCTGGACTCAGCATGATTACGGACATCACAGTGTCTTCCCTGATCTCAAGCGGTCTCACATCTTACATCATTTCGTTGTTGGATTTATCAAGGTAGAGCATGACACTTCCTATCATCCATTTCCACCATTCTCTTTAGTTAACATTTTCAGGCATGGGTTTGTTTGGTTGAGAAATGATGTCTTGTGTCGCTGGCAATGATTTATAAAAAAATGAACAGCTGTTTTGCTAAGACACAGAGATTCAAACCTTTGTATGTATTATTTGTTAGTACTGTAAGTCAATTGCTCTTCACAAATTGCCCATATTTTTTATGCTAGAGTTGAACATTTTCTGTCATCTTATTGAAGATACTGTCTTAATTTTCATACTTTACTCAACATGTACTCTCAAAATTTATCTATGTTCCATCAGTTCAAAGTATGGTTTAAAAAAAAATAAGACTGTTTTTCTGAAAATGTGGGTTATAATTTGCCTCAGATTTTTTTTAAACCTGAGATGCAGTTTGCTTGTTTTTTGTTTTTTTTAAACGTATGTCACCTAGTTATTTCTCTTACCAAGATTGTTAAACTAGACAAGGTCAATGTGTGTGGGCCAGTTTTGAGACTCACTTTCTGCAACTTTTTATTCATTCAGCCCTTGTATGCAGAGACCCTCTTTGCCAGATTTTAACATTGTTTTGTGCTTGGTGGGAGTAAAACTAAATTTTGGCTTCTGATGCTGACTCTGACTAAATTTCCTCACTAGAAATGGAACCAAAATTACAGCTTTATGTTAGTGATCAACTTATTTCATAGCCAATCCTATCGTTGAGGAAATCCTGTCTGGTAAACAAGGGGACGGCTGAGCCGATTTTGGCCAGATTGAATACTAGTGGTGCAATTTTTACTGGTTAGTTTTGGCTTGATTGAACTCTAGAGCTGCATTTTTCATTTTGCTAGGTTGAACAGGAAAGGGTTAATAACAGTTATTAAAAGTATGGTCCTGTAATTTCATGCACATATTTACAGTAAGAATGAAATATTGAAGTTTTTACTTTTATAAGATCATATGCTGAAATGAAAACCTTAGAAACAACATTTAGTCACTCTTAAGGACAGGCGGGCTAAACCTAGATTTTGGGAGTTTCCAGAAATCTTGATATACACCAAAAGTTGACAGTGCCCTACCTATAGGAGAAGTTTGGTTTCATTGGTGCGTATATTTGTTTGGTTATAGAGAAAACTCTCCTTAAAACTGAAGAAATTGAACATGGGGCAAAAACTTTACCTTCCATTTTCTCAAAACAGCATTTTTTGGGATAGCCCTCTTGTGCTTAAAAGTGACCGTTTATTTGTGGATATAATGATCATGTTATTATTGGAGTTATTGTGGTTTTATCTATAAGCACAGATACAGTCATCCTCTGCGTTATATTCTTTCAGGGAGCCTCATCTCATTGGTGGAATTTCCGCCACTTCCAGCATCATGCAAAGCCCAACATGGTCAGAAAGGATCCTGATATCGACATTGCTTACCTTTTCCTGCTCGGAAACAAACTTCCTGTTGAGTTTGGCAAGAAGAAAAGGGGCATCATGCCGTACAACTGGCAGCACGACTATTTCTTCTTCTGTGAGTCTCCATAGTTACGTCTGCTGTATTCCTCTTTGACTGCTGTCTTGTTTGTTTGTTTTAGTAAGGTTTTACAACACTTGCAACTGTGTAAGGTCATGTGAGCGCTGAGGGGTGGATGTTAACAGAGAAGTCCAAATGGGAAATCACGCTTACTCTACTCATCTCTCTAGCCTCAACAGCACAAAGTCTGATTGGGCTATCGAGGCACCCCGGAAATATCAGTTCACAAGAGAGTGACAAACATACTAAAGAAATAGAGGAAAATGAAGATAGTAAAGATGAGGAAAGAAAAAGCAGCAGTTGCCCCTATGCTGTTTCGGCACAGTATGAGCATGACATTAATAAATCAGCCCATTTACAATTCTACTGTGCATAAGAACATGTTAATATCCCCTCTTTGGGAATGACCTAAAGACAACTTCAGTCAATAGCACTGCCCTGGGAGGGGGGGGGGGGGGCTGCTGTCTTTCTCTCAGTGGTGTTGTAAGTCTCCATAGTAATGTCTACTTTATTTTTCTTTCCCTGCTGTCTTTCTTTCAGTAGTGTATTAAGTCTCAATAATAACGTCTAATTTATTCTTCTTTTTTTGCTGTCTTTTTTTCAGTGGTATATTGAGTCTCCATGGTATGGTCTAATTTCTTCTTCTTTTTCTTTTGTCTTTCTTTCACTGGTGTACTGAGTCTCCATAGTTACGTCTACTTTATTCTTTTTCTGCTCTCTTTCTTTCAATGGTGTATTGAATCTCCTTAGTAAATTCTACTTTATTCTTCTTTTTCTGCTGTCTTTCTTTCTATGGTGTACTGAGTCTCCTTAGTAATGTTTATTTTATTCTTCGTTTTCTACTGCCTTTCTTTTATTGTTGTATTGCGTCTGTTATATATTTGGCAACTTGGAAATACATGTGTCACTTTTCCCATAAAACTACGACAGCTACAGAGTTGGAAGTTGGCAAGTACCTGCAAAAAGATAGATAGGTCCCATGACAGAGTCCCATTAAAAAAAAATTCATATCCTGAATTTTAAAAAATATATTTGACAAAAAGTTCTCGTCCTTCTTTGGCCTTTGTGATTATTCCCCAGAGAAATGAAACAAATCTGCGTAGCTGTCCTTCACAGCGGAAGTGCCGGAAATGATATTTCGCGAGGTGCATTTTGCTTTGAGAGTATAGATCTAGACCTTTTAATTTTTTGCATCTCTCAAGATTTATTGTTCCATTCCAGGAGAGTGTAAATATAGTAGGCCAATGACTTTCAGTTGATGTTAATGCACCGATCATTCCTTTCATCAAAAGGGGCCCAGCTAGTTACTAATATTAAAAAGTAACAGCCAGTCGTCAAGTGGTTGTAAGCAGATGAGTGTTATTGGCTGAATGACCACGCTTGACTTAAACAAACACATAAATGGTTACATGTAGCTGATTTTGTTTCCTTATGTTGATAAAAGACTGTCCTGTACCAAATCTACTTATGTTCCTCTCCAGTGGGACCCCCTCTGCTGCTGCCAATCTACTTCCACCTGGAGGTTCTTTACTTCTGTGTCAAGCGGAGAGACTGGGTGGTAAGTGACGTGGGAAAACTCTCGTGTTTTATTGATTCGTAATATTATTGCTATTTTCATGTTATTTGTTAAAAAAAACCAACACAAAATAAGTTCAAAACAACAGTTTAACAGAAAACTCCTCAAAGTGGAAAATGTAATGGGTTGTTTTTGTTTTTTTTAAGAGATGAAATAATGGGAACTAATTGCCTGTTATAGATATTATTATATACCTATATTAACATTTTAAGTCCACCCAATATTGCAGTAATAGTATTTACTGTAGAAATATGTTCATGCATTTCTTTGAAAGTAACTGAAATAACTTCAGCTTTTGCCTGCAAAGATGATGTGCTATGAATGTCAATTGCATCATTATAATCCCTTGACCTTTCATTGCTCTCTTTTTTCTTACAGGACATTGCTATGACCACGGCATTTTTTGCAAGATTTTTTACTCTGTTTGGCCCTTTTTATGGAGGTTGGGGAACTTTTGCCCTGTACATGGGTATGAGGTGAGGAACTTTAGTGGTAGAGTGTGAATATGATTAGATTAAAAAAAAAACAACCCATAAAGCATGGTTGCTCAGGAAATTCAGAAATTTTGCTTGTGAGTATGAACATCGTTATTGCCACTTTGGGAAAAATTTCAGACATGGTTGCCATCGTCAAAGATTTGTTATGGACAGATCTTTTTAATAAAAGTAACACTGTCATTAACACTTTGCCTCCACGGCGACAGTGTGATATAGCATGTACTGCATCTGTATCCTGGTCCGTGGGGATAAGTGTTGTGTGCTCTGCGCGCTACGTGGATGAATAGTGTGAATGGTAGCTCGGGTGATTGGAGACAAGTTCAGTCGTGGGGGACTAGAAAGTGCCAGCGACTATGATTGGTCCATTGTCCCTCAAACAGGATAATGAGTCGCCCTCTGTAGTATGCAGCTTCCTTGGTGGCATAAGGATGCCATCTTTTCTTTATACTTGCCATGCCTTGTGCATAGCTCTCTTTCATGTAGAACCCTTGGTGGTTAGCGAGGGCTCTGGTGTGGTCTGCTCGTTCTTTCCTATCAAACATCTACTGTACTTATCCGTCCTTCTTTTTTGTCTATGTTACTCTCTAGTAACACCCTATAATCTTCGGCAAAACTATGACCTACTTATGTTACAAGGGCCCTAAGACTCTTTGCTAAAACAAAAAAACATGTAGAACATATCAGGGATGGACGTTTAATTCAGAGGACCTGCCTCTTAAATAACTTTACAGTGTTCCTAGGGATGAACGCGTGCAATTTCTCTTGTTTATGTGCCCTTTCATGCCAAACTGTTAAGCAAAAATCCAGTCTATCTTAAAATATCTTTCACTATCCATAGCCGGGTACCCATTCCCACTTGGGTGAAGTTAGGAAAATTCAAGTAAAGTGCCTTTCCCAAGGACATAATGTCTGGCCCCTCCTGACAGGATTTGAACTCCCGACCTTATAGTTGAGAGTCTGAATGTAGTATAATGAAGAAAGGAAATATTTTCTTTATCAAGGATATAAATGGTTTAAGCGTTCAAGTGTTGTGATCTTTGAAATTTGATGATGTCACTGTTTTACTCATAATGTTAAGCATTCTTTTGTGGTTATTATTGTTAATTAATGCTTTTTGTTGGATTTTTTAAGCTGATTAAGCTGTGTTGATAATCAATATTATCTGGTTGAAAATGGAAATACATGTATTCTGAAAGATCTCGGCCTGTGCTTGCTTTGAAAATGGAATTAAGTTGGGGTTTTTGTGGCAACTGTTATTTCTGTAATAGTAGTGCCCTTTCAAGCTTATTAAAACGTCATCGAATCTTTTTCCTGTTGTCAGATTCTTTGAGAGCCACTGGTTCACGTGGGTGACTCAGATGAACCACCTGCCCCAAGAAATTGACCGTGACAGCAAAGACCTGGACTGGTTCAGCCTGCAGTTGAGGGGCACCTGCAATGTGGAGCCCAGTCCTTTCAACGACTGGTTCACGGGCCACCTCAACTATCAGATCGAGCACCAGTAAGTTATGTGATAGAGGGCATAATACAGCATAACCTGTATAGGTCGAACACAGAAGACCCGAAATCACGCTTCCGTCGAAATGTGCCTGCTGTCCCGCTTTTTTTTTCCTTCTTTATCTTTGTAAGAAAATTATGCGAAGCTCGAACACAAGCCCGGAATAGTCGAACTAATTACGCTGCCGTAGAGGTCTAAAGTCAATGTCCTTTGGGTGAGGTGCACTTGAGACATAATAATAATAACAAATTTTTAAACAGGAAAAAGGCAAGGTCGGTAAAATACCACCTTTCCCCTCCAAAGATGCAGCTAGCTGTGCTATTTTTAGCATGCTGTTCGACATGCGTGTCTAGGTTTGTGTGGAGCGGGTGAGAGGAAGGGGTATGCATCTCACGGTCTATTGTTTTGCCCTTAAAGTAGCAATCTTTATTGCTTCCCTTGATTCTCTGACATAGCTGATGCCGTAACACTGTTCACATATCCCTGGAACTACGGAGCCCTCAAACTACTGAGGCCGGTCCCGACGAATTCGAGCTATCCGTGTTATACTGTACCATGGTCAACAAAAGTACTATGTCTACGAATAGCAGTGTATCTATGAATTTGTTAGTGAAGGACTGATGTTCTATTACTGGTAGAAGAAGACATTTTGTCAAGAGTCTCCATCTTTAAAGTTTTGATGGGGCTTAAAGCTTTTAAAATTATTACAATTCAAAGATATGCTGACCATTTTGCAACAGCCAGATGGGTGATATTAAAAAATCTGTTTCTAATCAGTTTGAAGATAAAAATATCTTTGTATGTCTTAACTGAATCTAAAAGTATCTTCTTCCTGATTCTGCTGGTCTTCCAGGTTTCTATGTTACGACACTGTGGAATCAGGCGCTCGTCTATTTTTGGGCATGTGGAGTTAATTGGTATCATCCGAAAGCTGATTTATGTGCCTTGCTTCTAATGAAATAAATATCCATTTCTTTTGAATAGAACTTGAGATATTTGCGATTGAAGGAAGTGACGTCGCCTGGTTTAAATGGTGAAATTTGTCAGAAAATTGCGGCCAAAGTTTGGCAACTCCAATAGCTAAAGAGTCTTTGAAAATTGAAAATTTCCGTTATAGAGGTTTTTCAATAAATTTCATGTGGAAATGTGTTTTTACGGGTACGACAGGAAGGAGGATGTATGGCCACATGAATAAACCACTGGTCAAGGATCCGGTCAATGAGTTGAGGAGGGGAGATCAATCCATGGTCTTCCAACTTGGAACACAACATGTACCCCTCAACCAACATCTCAACCGAATTGGAGTAAAGCAGTCTGCTGCCTGCCCACTATGTGACTACCCCTCAGAGACAGTGGAACATCATCTGTTCTTCTGTAGAAAACTAACTGATTTAAGGGGATGTTTTCTTCCCAAGCTACCCCACACATCTAATTGCCTCTACTCCTCAAGAAAACAATTAGAACAAACATGCAACTATTACCGAATGGCAACATGCAGAAGAGTTAACGCTCAGATGCTACTGGATCGCTAACAACAACAACAACAACAAATGTGTTTTTATATTGACATAAAAGAGGTTAAGCCAAAAAATAAAAATTTGATAAAAATTTCCAAACTGGCGGAAAAATGTCTGTTTCTCCAATTTCGTTATTTTGACAAGCGCGTAATTTCACCACGCTGCTTCACAATGCATTTTCTCTTAGCAGAAAATGAATGTTAAGTCAAATGATTTCTTCCTCAGTTTGTTCCCCACAATGCCGCGGATGAACTATTACAAGGTGGCGCCACTTGTGCAGTCTCTGTGTAAGAAACATGGGATCCCATATGAATCCAAGCCTTTGTTGACTGCATTTGCTGATATTGTGAGGTGAGTACTGGATACAAAATTTACTACCACATTATTGAATAGAGTATTGCAGAAGTGTAAGCTTCCATAATGAACGTTTTTCTTTCTATATTTCGATAATGTGGTTGTCACTTTGGCCCAGATGACTATGAACTTAATGCTTTTCCTCATCAAGCTGGAAACAAAATTTCTTTTTTTTTAATACATAAAAGCCGTTGTTGTTTAGCTCCACCTTTCTGAGGACAAATATTGTGATATGATTCCTGGGGGGAAAAAAAGGAGTCATCTCTTTGTAAGTTAATTTCTCTTTTTCCAAGGTATATTTCCTGATATTTCAGCTTTGCTTATACAATTTCTGTAGTCTTTACTTTTTCATAATTAATTTCTGTATTACTTCTACCCTGATCTGCTTTCCTTGTTGGTAAATTTTTAAAGTACAATATCTACAGTACTATATCACACAAAAACTTGGTTGCCTTTGTCACTGAATAACCAGTCACTTATAGCATCTTTGTTGACTGTTTTGTTTGTTTCAGAATGCTGAAAAAGTCTGGGCAGCTTTGGTACGATGCTTACCATGAGTGATTTACTGCTGTTTCCACCTGGAGTTTGACAAATGAAGTTTCTAGGCTATTGAAGAGCATGTCTTTGATGAGCTCATCGCCACTTCAAGATGATTAAGTTGTCAAAGCTTTAATTGATTTTTAAAAATTTGAATGCTTTTGCATCTGTGTAAATAAACCTTTGGCAAGTTCAGCAAATGTTGGTGTTGAATTTGAGGACAGGTCTTGAGGTTGTTTTGTTGAGATATATGGTATCTTGAGTGAAGAAGAATTTTTAAAAACTCAGTGCTGTCTTTGATCAGCCATTCATTTATTATCCCCTTGGAATAACCTTCCAAGTTTACTGCTTTTCCTGAACTATCTAGGCACGGTTGTGTAGATCATTTTTAAGAATTTTTTTTGAAATAGAAAGGGCAATAGAATCAGAAATATGTGCAATCTATCAGAAGTGCAACTCTAACAAAATGTTCATTAGTTTTGATGATTTGCCACTTGTAAAGGAGAAAGGGGGTAAGAGGGGCTTTGCTCCCTGGCTGTGAGAAAGATTATGACTTGACAGTATCTGTATTTCTGATAGTCTTGTCGGATAAACTTTTCATTGAGTTTCGGAATGACCGCGTTTAGAAGTGCATCTCCATTCCTTATTATTTTTTTTTCTTCTTTTTATCTGCTTTGTCTTTGATTAAAGTTTTCATTTTATGTTTTGCCATATGATATACATTTGTGATTATGCACATCCTTTTTTAGAATTGCATTGTGTGCCTGCTTTAAAAAAAAAATAATGCTATGCTACTTTGTCTATTGCTTGTCACATGAACTTTTGCAACAACCTGAATGTTAAGTTGAGCAACATCTTAGGTGTAATGGTTAGGCTCTTTGCTATAGTACGCATAAGGGATGAAAACAATCCCTCGTGGATAAGTATGTTTTTCTGCTGAGATGCTGTAGGCTTTTCAACCCCGGCAGACCCTGATAGATTGTCTCAAAGCAGCTTGTCTCCTAAATAATCTGAATTATGTCAGTGGGTCGTCAGTGGAGGTGTAAACGATATGTCTACAATTATTTATAGAGAAAGAAGTCGCTTATCAGTTCACTATCAGTTGTTGAGATGTTGTAGAGTAGTGAGTTCATGACAAGAAGTAATGTAGCTTCATTCTCGTTTGTTTTTTTAGATTCTGGGCTGTTGTTTTTGGGGTTTTAAAATTTAAATAATTTTTTGGGGGGCAGGTTGTCTTGGTTTGAAATAATGAAGCTGTTTTAAAAGTAGCTTTCATACTTTATAAAGGGAGTAAGAAGAAAAGGCTTGACCTTTCTTACATGTTAGCGGACTATCCTATACATTTTTAATAAGTTTTGTTACTTATGTTCAGTTTAACTTTTAAAATATTTTTAAAAATTAGTATTCACTGAAAGATCTTTTGTTCGAACTGTGATATTTCATGCTCATGAGGAAAATCTTTACTTTTAGTAAACTTTTAGCGTGTGCTTTTTGAGTCTGGTGTAGTAGGAAGGAACAATGTGGTTGTGTTGTTCCTTACTGAGCGTTTCAGTTTCACAATGGGGAAAGGTGAGGGAAGGCATCAGGTGTAAAACTTTGTGGGAGCTAAGAATCAAAAGCTTAAAACAGTAGTGATCCAGAAAAATTTTTTTTTGCTCTTTGGATATAAAAAAATGTATAACTTATACTACTTTTTGCTGATATCTACTTATTGAATTAGATTAGCTGTAAGTTAAGAGGGTCATGAACTAGTTATGACTTACATCAAACGTGTCCATTTTGCTCAAGACTGTGCCATGGGTCGGATTATGCCATAGTTCCCACCTGATGTGAATACAATCATTTGTGGATATCTAGTTTAATGACAGCAGTAACTGACCCTTGTCATATTTTTTTGATACAATGTTTTTATTTTAATTTGGAATACTTTTTATGGAAATCAGGATTTCACCTCAGATTGTAAAGTCACAAGAAACATAATGTATTTAATTTCTGCTTTACTGTCATCAATTCAATATGTTACCCCTCATCTTTGCTTCTCGTAGTTATCACCGCAAAGCTATTGTTATTTTTACTGCCTAAACCTCTATCAAAGCGAATTGTTGGAAGCGATTGATTTAGATGTGTACTTGTGTGATAGAACTGCAGTTTTTTTTTTTAGATAAATAGTTCATTTGTGTGAGCATATTCTCTGTTTGAATTCGAAAATATGTATATATTTTGTGCCAATTTTTACTTACTGTGCCTTATTTGTATTTTTTAGAGCAAAGTTCATGTAAGATGCTTTTTGTTGTCATGTTTATTTATGGGTCCAAAAAATGAGTGGTTATAGTTATAACACAGAAAAGCTGTCAGGATAAAAGACTTTCAGGGTGCCCTAACGGGGCCTTCTAATGTTCGCCCCCAACCATCTAATTTTGTATGGTTTAGTTCTGCATTCTGTTGGCTCCATGTCATGCTTTTAACTCATGAGAAACCTGAATGATATTTTTCAGATCCTGGTATTAATTAGGCTTGGTGATAATTTATGACAAGTGAAAGTTTATTCTCACTTGTCACTGAAAGCAAACAAATGCCCAAATAGGACTGTAAAGCAGCATTATGTGAATCTTGAAATTAGGCAAATCTCTCCCTAAACTTTCAAAGAATTGCAATAGTATACTTTTGAGTTTTAGTCATGGTTCTCAAGTACAATTAAAATATTAGTATTAGTGAAATACAGTCAGGCACGGATAACACAAACACGGAAACTCAAAATAACGGATAGCTTGTACATCATTTGCCATTCTCTGTTCTATATATCTCTTTATTTTTGTTATCGGTTAACCAGCATTATGGTTGCATCCAACACATTCGTCAGTCCTCGATGTGCGTGAGTTGTCCATGCTCGACTGTATATGAGACTGGCGGTCCTCTTTCCTCCATTTCTTATAATTGAAAATGCATTTGATTTGTTTACAATTAACAATTTTGCGTCGTATTATTTATTAAGGTTCTTACAGCTGACAAAATATCCTGCTTCTACTCCTTGCTTTTCAATTTTACACTTGTCCTTGTCCATTCCGACTGTGATATGTTGGTAAAAGTCTTATAATGGTACTTATACTTTGAGTCACTTTGACAGACACCTCATTACTTCTACAACTGAATCATCCCGGTTACTTTTAATAAAGGAAAAATACTTTGCTGACTTTACCGTTTCGTTACTTAATGAAGGGCTGAGAGCAAAATCACAAAGTATTTTATTTTTTTAAAAACAACCTTAACAGATGTACTACAACGTATTCAACGCTCAATCTAGGAGTATTCAGGGTATGCTTTACCTCATGTAACTGTATTTATTTGTTTGTTTGTTTGTTTTTTTGGTCTTAAAGGCTTGTTTGACCGGGCAGAAGTACACGCACTGTACTATGCTTGGTAATTATACCAATGATTGCTCTTTGTTGTTCATTACATTTCATTTATGCTCCTGGCTGATATCGTTTTTGATTTCTGCCAAATTCATTTTTATTCAAACTGAAAGATACTGGTATGGAGATTGAAAATGTTCTGCGTGCAGTATGGACATAGTGTGGTGATGGCCTTACTTTTTGTTATTGCCGTAGTTGTTATGTGTGGTATTATTCCTAGATCTTTTCCTGTTCTTCATTTCCTGCCTACCTGTGTCTGTGGTGGAGAGGTTAGGTGCTTTGCCATTCGAGCTAGAAGACCTGAGTTTGATTCCCATGTGGGGAGAATTTTTATCATCTTGGTCTTTCTGCTGAGATGTTGTATCCTTCTCCTCTCAGCCCGGACTGACCCTGATATGCAGGGTTGAAGCCTGCCTCCTAAATGATCTAAATTGTGTCAATAGGCGTTTGTAACGGTTTACATTTAAATAAATACCCCCAAAAACGCTTACTTTAAAAAAAAACTTCTTTGTTAATATGCACTTTTACTCTTTAATTAAATATGATCCACACAGAAATGTGTTTTTTAAATATGGACATTAAAGGTGGTGGGCCAAAAAACAAAAATTTGATGAAAATTGCAAAATCCGCAGGGAAAGAATGTCTGTTCCTTCGATTTCATTATTTTTACGAGCCCCTGATTTCCCCTTGATGCCTCACATCATATGAAAAAACTTACTCAGCTGAAAGGGGCACAAACCATCCATCCTCTGTTACTGCCAATCTGCCTTTGATCTTGTGCTTCTGTCCAGGCATTCTCCGCCCTTTTTTGTTTTGCCATTGTTGTCTGGAACCGTCTCTTCATTGGCGCACAGTTAGCTCATTCGGTATCATGGCTGACCACAGAGCAGTGGCCCGGGTTTGAATCCTCAATGGGGCGTTTTGAACCCTTGGTGTTTTATTGAGATTTTTTAAGGCTCTTCATCCTTTTGGCTAGGTCCTGTCATATATGAACGGTAAATTCGGAAGCCGCACCTCTTAACTCTTTGCAATCACACAGCCAGAGGTACAAAATATCCCATCTTGTCTCCCAGCCAGGAGAGTGACTGCAGTGGACTTCTTGGGCCTGGTGCAGAACTGTGCCAGGTGACCAGAATGGATGATTTTCTCAGGCACATTATCGCGGCAAGTGACTGCTAAGTGTTAAATAACTTTGCAGTGTTGAAAGGGACGTTATCTATACAATGGCAATGTTACTTCAGAAAGAGCTAGTGACACTGTCCTTGACCTTGAAGTGTCCTTGACGAGGTATCTATATAATATACTGTAAGTGATAGGCGTACCCTCAAAACACACATACTCTCATGACATAGACTAAATTTTTACTTTTGATGCGATTGTCTTGTGTGTAGTTGTGTGTCTTTTCTTACGTAATCTCCTGCCTTATCTCTCCAATATATAGGCCTACATACATATATATTTCAAAACTGTACTCAGTTTGTCTATGGTAAAGATTCAGTTTGTCTTTTGTTTGAAATTAAAAAATTGTTTTTGTATTAGATATCATCGATGTGCTTTACATATTTTTCAACATTTGTTCAATTCATCAGCATTGTTACACATACTTGCGGTTTCCTAATTTTTTCGCAAAAAAAGATAGGTATCTGGGAAAGGATAATTTGAAATATGCCATCATCTGTATGAGACTAACTCAATGAACCTCGTCATGTTTAAATTATATAGGTCATGAATAACATTAATTTCTGTACATGTTTAAAGCTTTGTATCTTTGCTTCCTGTGAAGTCTTTTGCAATACTCTGTATATTTAAACCTGTCCGTATGGTTTTTTACAACTCTTCAATCGCTCTTCCCAAATGCATGATGAAATGCAGTACCATAAAGGAATTTTTCAGAGAAAGTCATCGATTTTAAACTGAAGCTAAATGATAATTGCTTTATTTTGTCACTGTGCCTCTGTTATTTCTCAATGCTTCAGCAGATGGTCTCTGAAGTTTCACTCCAATAAACGAATAGTGTTTGCCTTTACGTTTTGTGTGGATTCATGCTAAATTCTTATTTCCCCTTTTTTTTGTTTCAATGCTCCTGTTATTAGGAGTTAGCTTTTTGTATCTTTACAGGTAGCCTACGCTTTCCATGTGATATTCTTGGATAATTTTTCCAATCATCACCCCCACCCCCAC